CCCGCTGTGCTATTGCTCCAGTCCAAACCTGGAACTAATTTTGCTAGTAAACAACAGGATAAATTTGATGAATCACCAATTTTCTCTTGTCTACATTTCATTTATTTGTTGCATGGTGGTTCCATCTGATGGTAAGCTGAGTTCTCAGCAGCTCTTCCATTTAATGACTTTAGACAGAGATATTTATCTAATAAGGCCAAAGTTCTGTAAGTTTATAAAAGTCAGAGGTAGCATGGCAGAATTGAAAAGATGTTCATATAATTCTAGAAGGTCTTCCCCTCAAATTCTGACCTTGAATTAGAATCCTGGTTCTTCCACATATAAGTTGTGAAACCTCAGGAAAATTGCTTAACTTCTCTGGATTTATGCATTCTCATAGACAAAGTACAAACAAAATGTACTGCCTGGTGTTTCTTATGAGATCAAATGGATGTGTAATGCTTAACAGTGTAAGATTCCAAGTTAATGAGTTCACTTTGTATGTCTTTTCTTATCAGGGTCCTGAGTTTAATTATGAGAATTCGATGATGACTTGTTTGTTCTTGGGCAAATAACATATGATTAGAGAACTTGGATGAAAGTTTAAATGATCACTGTTCCACAGCCTCCATTAATCACTGAAGGATTCTGTGGTGAAACTTCCTTTCCTTTAACATTTTAAGAGTATTCGTTAAGGGGGCTGGAGGGATAGTACAGTGGGTAGAGCATTTGCCTTGCATGTGGCTGACTCAGGTTCGATTCCCAGCATCCCATATCGTCCCCCAGCACTGCCAGGAGTAATTTCTGAGTGCATGAGTCACGAAACTCTAAGTATTGTTGGCTGTGGCCAAGACTTATGGCTCCCATAAAGGAATATTCATAAAGACTCTTCACAGGGATACCTTAGAGAACAAGACTGCTGTCATTCCTCCTGAAACAACCTGCAGCCAGCTTTAGGAAATGCCATCTTCCATTTGACTCATCCTGTATGTCAGTACTGGACCTTACAAAGTTAATCCTTTATTTCAAAGACAAACTCATGCAAGTTGGCGTGTACTCACATGTGATTTAGGTCAGAAATCAGCAGGGTAAATAAAGAACGTAAGTGTGGAGTTCCTCAGATACTGACTGTCATTTTTCAGAGATGTAAGCATGAGCAAGTACATTAACCAGTGTGCCTCAGTTTCCTTTAAAATAATAGTTACTTGCAAATATAGATAAAACTTCATAAGATAATAAAAATGAAACACCTAGAGCAAGACTGGAAAACAGTAACATAACAGTATTAAAGAAAACCACGTCATTGTTATTTGCTTTTCTATTGAGAAATTGGCTTCCCTAAGTTTAGAGATTTATAAGAGATAGCTATAATCATAATATTAAAATCATGCTAGTCCCACTGACAAAATTTTCTATCTGAACACAGCTCCCTATATTAACACCCAGAGAAGATTTTTCTTTTCACACAGAGAGTGGTGCCAAGTGACATTCTTAGAGTCGTCCATTATTGAGAGGGGAGAAATTGAATGGTTTTAATAAAGATATGCTATGTGCTTATAAAAGGGAAGGTTGCAATTTAATGATCTGTAAAAGGCACGGCTGGCTGCGTTATAAAATTGCAAAAATAATTTAAATTAATTAAAATTCCATTTCAATTAATTGTATTACTGGATTTATACTGATGACTGATGCTGATCTGAAACTTTAAAATGTTATATAGTGATATAACTTCAATAAAAGTAGTTTTAAAAAATTGCAGACTGTCTACTTGAAATAGCGTTGCCACTGTTTTCCAAGCCTGCATCACAGTTCTAAATTTTCTTGCATAATACTACATGAGAAATGTAGAAAGGAGAAACTATCCAATGAAGAGAGAGTCTTCACTAAATGCACTCACCACAAACCCCAATGGGTCTTCCTTCACTGTATCTTCTCTGTGTCCTATTTATTCTAAACATTTCAATATTTCCCATGTTTACCCAGTCCTTCCATCATCCACACCCATTGACTCTACCAGTTTTTCTCCTTTCTCGTTAAGTCACATCTTCAGGGGCCCTCAGGAGAGAACAAGGAGAGTGTATGCACATTGTGTGTGTATGCGCATGAATTTTTGTGTTCTATGTTTGTGTACATTTAAGGACGCACCTGTATGAGCTGCTCAAATAATTTTATACTAGTGTAGCAATTTTCCATTTTGGCATAATGAAGCCTTGGTTTAAATATATATACACACACACACACACACACACACATATATATATATATATATATATATATATATATATATATATACTTTAAAAAAACTACCAGTGCTGGTTTAGGTGGTTATGCCTGAATAGCAGGGTTTTTATGCTTCCATAAAAGCTCCATTGTGTAGCTCAGCTAAAGAATCGCTATCCTAGACAGCAGAGAGTCACTGAATTTCTTCTCCACTCTCTATGATGGATGTTTTGGTTCTCTGGCTAGATTAACAATAAATTGATTTGAAAACTATAACTCTGAACTCTTCTGTTTTGGGAAATGTTTCACTGCCTAGACGTGGCCATTCTTCCTCATTAGATCTGTACAGTTATCTCTGGACACGGGGCCATTGTAGATCTAGAGCACTCCCAGTACACCGACTTCTGTCTTCCAAATGCCACCAGCAGAGAGGGCTGGAGCGATAGTAGAGTAAGTGTGTATGTGTGTGTGGGGAGGGGGGGTGGGGAGGGGCAAGGGAAGGAGGGTTGACCTACATCTTGCCTTGAGGTTGGATCCCCTGGCACTCCTGAGTGCACCAAGAATGATCCTTGAATGCAGAGCCAGGAATAAGTCCTGAGCACTGCTGGGCGTGGCCCCAAAACAAAACCAAAAACCAAAACAAAAACCATAAATACCACCAGCAGAGATTTCTAAGAACTGGAAAAGGCAGGCAGAGCCTGAGGTACAGCCTGCACCTGGTCATCCTGAAGTTGGCTATAGACAACCCTAATGGGAGCTTTTAACCCATAAAATGAGATCAGTCTGTCATCTCCAATTTCTGAGATGGCTGAGTGATTTTTCTTATTTTCATTATCGATGGTTTTTGTGTTCATTCCCACCCCCGCCCCCAGCATCTCCTTGCAATTAATCTATCCAGTATGCATCTTTCAGCTTCATTTAGAGTTCAAAAATGAGCAGGAGCCCGGAAGTATTTTATTTTAGAGTATCAGAGTTTGGGTGCTTTAAACAACAGAAATTTATATTCTAGGTGTGTTTGGGAACAAAGGGTTCCGTTTGAGGAAACAGGTAAGATAGGCAGAAAAATAGGGAGCTGGTGGTCTGAAGGATGGCACTAGCCAAAGGGGGTGTCAGTGAAGAAAGGGTCCTTTCTCTGCTCTATCCCTGTCGTCCCTGGTCTGAGGAAACAGACCTCAGAGGAAAACCCAGACATGGTACCAATGTTTGTCTCAGTAAGGCTGTGTAAGCGGCAGCTTTGCTAGGGTAGAGTAGTTCTGCTCTTGGTAGAAGACTGCTGCTCCCGTTTTGTTTCCTGGTACAAAGCAATAAAGAATGAACGCTGAGGCCAGAGCGCTAGTACAGTGGGGAGGGCATTTGCCTTGCATGTGGCCGACCCGGGTTCAGTCTCTGGCATCCCATATGGTCCCCGGAGTACCACCAGGAGTAACTTCTGAGCACAGAGCCAGTAGTAAACTCTAAGCATGGTTGGGTGTGATCCAGAACAAACAAATAAAACAGGGAATGTGAGGGTCAGTCAGGGTTCTCCACCCATGAGGCTGACCCCACACTTTATTCTTACCCTGTTTCATTTCTGAATCCTCTGATGTGACTTTGCTTCAACAGCATCCCAGGGCTGGTCCTTGCCTAGTTCTTGAAGCTTGTCCAAATTAACGAGGCTGGTTTTTTTTTTTTTTAATCTGGGGCTTCACTCCTGACCTTGCAGATAAATGTTACCTCCCTCTCTCCTAACATCATCTCATCATCTTCCACCTGTATCTGTGTCATAACCTCATTTAAAAAATTATTTTACTTAAAAATGGTTGGGTTTTTTTTTCTTTTTTTTTCTTTTTGTTTTTTGGATCATACCCAGCAGTTCTCAGGGTTTATTTCTGATTCTGCTCAGGGATCACTCCTGGCTGAGGCAAATGTCCTACCCACTGTACTATCTCTCTGGCCTTTAGTCTCATTCTTCATAAGGACATTGGTCATATTAGATTAAAGCCCACACATATGGCATCATTGAACTTTACTCATCTCTATAGAAATGTCCTCACTCCATATACAGTAATATAACAGGATACTGGCAGTTAGAAATTGAATTCATTTAGTTAGAGGTGATATAATTCAGTTTATAATCCCCTATGACATCTACAAGTTAAATAGCTGTGTTCTTTTTTCTGCTGGAATTCTATTTATATGAAACCACCACTAACATGATATTTGTGCTTTGATATAGCTTCCTCTGCATATAAGTAGAATCTGACTTTCTGGAAATAAATAGGAAGACAGCTCTACATAATATTTTTAAGGTCCATGATCAGTGCAGTTGGTAAGCTAAACTAATGAAAAAAAAAAGATAGTCCCTGAAAGAAATGGATTAAATGAAGAACCTATAACATTTGTGGTGGAATTAAAAGGGTAAATATAAAATGTTTCAGGTGACTGAGTGAAAACTGCGTGTGTCAGATACTTTAAGAGCCTTGGCTTAAAATTGTCTGCCTAGGGATCTTCAAAAATTCCTATTTATCAGGTTGTATTCCATATTAAGGTTTAGACAACATGATCGAAATACAAGAACTGTTTCAACAGATCAATTTTGCTAAATGATTTATTTGTGCAAGTAGGTGGGAGCAATGTTGCACACAGGACTTGAATTTGAGCTCATGCAATGCTGATTTGCATGATGCTCTTAAAGAGGCTTGTTGAAGTTATTCATCTAATATTCCCTACAGGAAAATTCAAGTTTTCACACATAAAGATGCCTCCAAGGCCAAACAGACCAGGATGCATAGTGTAAGTCTGGTGTGAGGACCAGAACCTACCTTGAGGTTTGGGCTTAGTCATCTTGCCACACGGCTTGGAGATGGTAACTGTCTTCTGGCAGTCGGCATTGTGGAGGGCTCGCTTCAGATTCCCAGTTCTGGTCTTCAAGGCGGTATTGAGATCACATTCTCCCCAGGCCTGGAACTGGTATTTGCACTCCGCTGAAGGGAGGATAGGACAAAGAGAAACCTTTAAAATCTTCTGCAAACTCTGTACTCCTGGAACCCCATCATGAACAATACTGTACGTCACAGTGACTAACATTTAATGTTAAATAAATTAAATTGTAAAAAAACCAAGAGTTTTCTTAATTAGATAATGCTATAAATTAGCAAAAACCAATGTATGAAACAATCTAAGAGCTAAAAAGAGGGATGATTAGATAAAGCTTCAAGCTATGCATATCTATGAGACACATAAATATATATCAATATATATTAATGCTCCCAATTTTGTGAGGCAGGATGTGGGAAAGATGGGACCATGCCTGAAAATTCTCAGGGATTACTTCTCTCTCTACACCTAGGAATTACTCCTGGCAGTATTCCAGGGACCATACAGGATGTTGGGGATCAAAGCTGAGTCGGCCGTGTGCAAGGCAAGTGCCTTACCTGCTGTACTATCACTCTGGCCCTGCTCCCTCTTTTTCATGACTGAGAAGTGTCACATTGTGTGTATATATACATATATATATATATACATATATAGAGAGAGTGATTTTATATAGTGAAAAAGTCGTGTATATATGTGTATATGAGCATAACACGCACACACACACACAAGAAGAACCACTAAAATTTTAAACAACATGGAGGGATTCTAAAGGGTTGTTGCAGACTGAAATAAAACAAATGAAGAAAGATTAAAAGGTAAATACTATCTGATTTTACTCATTTGTGGAATATAAAGATATAAAATGAAGTGGCTCCAAGGTAGAGCATAGTGTGAGGCCCTGGAATCATGCCCTAGCATGACAGGAAAGAGAGAAAAGAAAGATGTAAATAAAGCAAGCTCTTAGACTCTGACAAGGAATGATGGATGGTGGTTACAGGAGGGGACAGGGGTAGGTGTGAAGCAGGAAGAGGGGACCAAATGGTCGGTGGATGGTGACTGAACATTTGGTGGCGGGCTTAGTGTAATCTACAGCTGTCAAAGTGAGAAACTCCACCCCTGAAACCTACGGAGTGCAAGGAATCAATATAAATAAATAAATTGAAACTAATATTGTGAACATTTGGAGCATTATATCCCAAGGGTAAGAAAAGGAAAAAGCCTAGAATGTAGAGGGAAAAAAAAAAGCTATCTATATTTTGTTTTTTAAAGCAGTGGGTTTGAATTTGGAAACATTGAAAGGTATCTTCTCTTTAAGATAGGAAGAGAGTACAACGGGTAGAATACTTCCCTTGCATGCTTCTGTCCTCGGTCTTACAATGGACAACCTCCCCAGCCTGCCAAGAGTGATGCTTGAGCACAAAGCCAGGAGTACGCCATGAGGAATTACCACCACAAAGAGGAGGAGGAGGTGAAGAAGGACAGTTAATAGAGCTTGGCAGTAGTAAGGGAAAGAAGTGTGCAGTTCTTTGCTTTTTCTAGGGATTCAAGTAAATCTATGACCCAGTGTGGAAAGTGGGGAGAAAATGAGAGAGAGAGAGAGAGAGAGAGAGAGAGAGAGAGAGAGACAGAGACAGAGACAGAGACAGAGACAAAGAGACAGAGACAGAGAGACAGAGAGACATACACACACACACACACACACACACACACACACACACACACACACACAGAAAGAGAGAAGGCCTGAAAGCACGAACATGAGACCTGGAGAAAGGGACTAAACTAAAAATCAGGATAAAAGTAAGAAGATCTTAGAGATCCTCCAAGAAAGCAAGGAGAGAGAAGACAGATGGGAGGGTGAAAGGACACCGGAAAGAGGGTGCAGGGCAAAGTCATGTCATTGATAAGACAGCAGTTCTCCACCAGAGACTATTTTCACCTCTAGGAATGGAAAGCATCACCTGAAGGCATTTCCAATAGGCAACAGTGGGCCATGCTACTAAAAATAGGGCAGAAAATTCAAGTGCCTTATAATGTATAGGACAGTTCTCTACAATAAAAACTACCTGGCCCAAAATTTAAGGAGTGCTAAAACTGAGAAACCCTGCTTTTACTTAGGCAATAGCCTTGCTATCCTATTATTTTATTTTAATAAAATAAATTCATTTAAAAAGTAAATAATAGGGCCAGGAAGATAACGCAAAGGGCAGATCGCATGTTTTATGGGCAGGAACCCTCAATTAGATTCCCAGCACCCACATAGTCCCCTGAGCACCCCGAGATGTATCCACCCTGAAAACTATTAAATAAATGAATCAAATAAGAGTCAACTTCAGAAAGATATTTCATGCAAGGTTAAATCCACAGGAAAAAAAATAGGATAGGATATACCTCCAAATTGTTTTTTCCAGTTGCACGGGATCTTACATCTCTGGGTCTTCATGGTTTGCTTGCACTCAGCTCCAGTGCGGGTACCCTCCCGGGTGCCAAGCCCACAATCTCCACTGGTTGGCACACACACACTCCACTGCCATTCTCCACAGTCAGACTTCTTCACTTTCTTCTCTGGAAGGAAGAAAAGGTGAAAGTTAATTCCTGAGGCCCTCAGAGCAGGGTCTATGCTTGTTATCTCTGTCTTTAGTATCCTGGAAAACAAAGAGAGGAAGGGAGGGAGGGAAGAAGGGAGGAAACGAAGGGAGGGAGGGAGGGAGGGAGGGACGGAAGGAAGGAAGGAAGGAAGGAAGGAAGGAAGGAAGGAAGGAAGGAAGGAAGGAAGGAAGGAAGGAAGGAAGGAACCTTAAAAATCAGGGAGGAAGGGAGGGAGGAGGGAAGGGAGGGAGGGAGGGAGGGAGGGAGGAAGGAAGGAAGGAAGGAAGGAAGGAAGGAAGGAAGGAAGGAAGGAAGGAAGGAAGGAAGGAAGGGAGGACGGAACTTTAAAAATCAGGAGTCTGAGTTAGATGGAAGTTGGCCAATGGAGTCTCTTTCCTTCAAAAGTATCCCTTACCTGGTTTCTCTTTCTTCCCGGCCTCAGCTGTGTCCACAACTGCCAAAATGAAAATGAATGCCAAGAAGGCAACTGCAAATTTTCGACGCTGCTGCTGGTACTGTTGAGACTGCATTCTAGAAATGAACAGAGAAACCAAGGCATGTGTCAAACTAAGTTGGAGAGAGGAACTTAATGAGTGAGTTAATGCAGAATTCCACTTTCTTTTCCTGGAACAGTAGATTTTAGGAAATTTGACATCAATTACTTTGGACAAAATTCCAGCTTTTTTCTCCAACTGCTACTTGAAATAAGTGATCTTCTGCTAACAGTCGTATTTTGCCAGCACAGACACTTGATAAACCTGACTCCAGAATCATGAAAGTTTCTAAAAAATTTTGATGGCACATGTGAGCAGATTTTTATAGTAAATTTCTACCCCACTTTTCTTCTTGTCAATGACTATTTCATCTTTGTAACTCCTTACGATTTCTAATACAAACAAGGTCTTAAAAATCACATTAATGTATATAACTAATGGATTACTCATACAAGAATAGGTATACTGCTATTTTAGATTACTCAGTAAAAACTTACTTTTTTATCATCTTAATGATCTTTAATATGAAGCACACAACCAGAGTAAGAGTATCATTGATGTACATCAGACACACTTATTAAGTCATATATGAGACAGAATATCTCAGAGTTTACTGAAGAAACTCAGCAGAAATAAAAAGAATCTCACATCTCATCCTCTGTCAACTACACACAGGTGCACACAGTGCTCAGAGAGAAGAGTAATTATTGGCTGATTTCAATCTCAGTGCTTAGAGTTTTCATTTCTAAACCCTTATAATTAATTTCAAAAATGATTTCTCTTAAGTTAAATGTATTTATCTTCAAGGGCAAAATCCCACTCAGGAATTTCTTATCATGACATTATGACATATTTGAGCACTCAAGAGTGTACCTCAGTGGCAGACATGTGCCTCATATGTATGAGACCTGGGTCTGATCCCTAATCCCCCATTCCCAATGCAAAAACTGGGGCCAGAGCGATAGTACATTGGTAGGGCATTGTTATACGCAGCGGACCCACGTTCAACCCCTGGCATCCCGAACAGTCCCCTGACCATCATCAGGAGTAATTCCTGAGTGCAGAGTCAGGACTAACCCCTGAGCATCACCGGGTGTGATCCAAAAAGCCAAAAGTTGCAAAACTGATGTAAGTTATCTTCCACTGTATGATGTGAGTCTACATAGTAGGACAAAGAGATAAGAATTGGGATGAATAGTTGGAGAATCGGTAGAGGGGTTGTGCTTTCAATATGACTCTAAAGTTAATTCAAGAACAATCCTATAATCAGCAAATGGAGCATTTCAGATTCCGAGGAAAATACACAGAGGTGTACAGGAAGTCTCCTGTCTAAAGCATGATCAGCAACAAGTCTGAACTGGGGGTGAGATATCTTTCATCTCCCTTTTCCAAAATGCTTACCACTCTCCCGAAGCTCATTATTTTGATAGCTTAGATGTTTCTTGGTAAAGAGAGTGAATCAAGTTATTTTAAAAAAATAAGATAGCTTGGGGATTTAGAAAATGAATGATCAAATTTTATAGAGTCAAGTATGTTCAAACAATAGCCATGAGGCCTACTGGCACCTTGTTGCTGTGTCTGATACTTCACTGATTAGTAGAAATGCAAATTATGGGACATATTGATACCATTTAACTTGTATGTTATATGAAATGGAAAAAAATCTCACTTTGCAAATGTATTTAAGGCCCTTCTGTGCTTTCCCCACCTCACCTCCCAAAATCACCAAATTCATCTCTTTTTTCATTTCACTCCATGGGATAAGACTGCAGAATACAACTGCTACTCAGTAAATGTTTTGCTAAAGAAAAAATTACTAAAATGTGATATCAAACTTAGGAATTAGGTTTAAATGACTTTTCAGTTCTTTGTCTATACCACTGAGTAGGCTATTCACTGAAAAAGTTGGGGTGATAACAACCAGGTATCAAGTTGTGTCATACTTACAAGCATGATCATAATACCTACAATATTTAATACCTACAAGAATGATTTCAACGCTTCTGCATCTTATATTTGACCTTCAAGATATATTTTGATTTACTAGCATAAAGTCCTTGAAATTGTTATCTTTCCACCTCTCTGTCACAAAATAAAAGATATGTAAATTTACTCAAAGTAACTCTATAGTTTAGCGAAATGTTATAGAGTGGTATATTTCTTTCAGTCACATCTAAAGGATTTATGTATTTCCCATACAAATTACAGCCCTCCAAAAATAAGTTTATATAGTAATCAATGTATTTGTGTTTCTTGAGCAATTTATTTAAGCATACTTCCCTATACATGACAAAAATTTAAAACTTAACTTTTTTGATATACCTTTTAAATTGCTTTCCTTACATAGGTTTGTCCTCTATACCTTTCTTTTTCTTGATTTTTTTACTTTACAAAAATCAGACCATCTAATCAGTAGATTCACATATTCTGGATTTTGGTGATTGCGAATTTGCCATATAATTCAACATTTCTCTGTTCAGAAGAAAATTGTCTACTGGATGTAGAGGCTTAATCAGACTTAGGTTATATCTCTTTGGCATTTGTTCTTTCTCCTGAATCTCCATAATATTTGGTTTGTGCTCTTTTCTGATATTAGTAATCATTAATATCAATGATAATTGATAAAATATTATGACAGCACATTCATGCCTCTCCTAATTCATATACTAAAATCCCATCTCTCCCCATGAGTGACAGTACTGTTATATACCAAGATGTCCAGTTTGTTTGTGTATAAGAATTCCCAAAGATTCCAAAAATATCCATGAACCTCCTTCCTCTCAAACTAGCACATTACCTTCATTAAACACCTTTGAGACAGCTATGTAATCCTAACCTTTGAGTTGCAGTCTCAGGATGTACCAGTCACATAGTAAGATAGATGTTTTGTTTAATAAATTCTACAGTGAAAAAATATTCTATAATAAATTCACTGTGCTCTATAATACAACATGTCGTGAAGTGTAAAGGAAATAAATGCTATTATAGTTCCCTTTCTTAATTTTACATCAGAATCTGAAAACAGATTTAGTAAAAGCCAAAGGTTTAATTTACCTTAAGTTCCAGATAAGGCAAAAATACCATTTAGCACTGTAGCACTGTCCTCCCGTTGTTCACTGAATTGCTCGAGCGGACACCAGTAACGTCTCAAAAGAAATTGTGAGACATGTTGTTGCTATTTTTGGCATATCAAATATGTCATGGGTAGCTTGCCAGCCTTTGTTGTGCAGGAGAGATACTCTCGATAGCTTGCCGGGCTCTCTGAGAGGGGTGGAGGAATTGAACCCGGGTCGGCTGTGTGCAAGGCAAACGCCTTACCCACTGTGCTATGACTCAAACCCTGGTTTCTCTTCAGATCACATAAAAATATCATTTATAGTTAGAAATTCTGTTATGTAGCATTAACTATTATTAACCATATTATTGATGATTTTAATCATTGAATCAAATATGTATATTGTTATTAATCATAAGTTATTTGATATAGTTTGAGGAGGATCAGTTTGCATCATTCAAAATATCATTCATTTAATTAAGCATATATTCCTCCGCCCCTCTCGGAGAGCTCGGCAAGCTACCGAGAGTATCTCGCCCGAACGGCAAAGCCTGGCAAGCTACCCGTGATGTATTCCATATGCCAAACACAGTAACAACAAAGTCTCCAATGGAGACGTTACTGGGCCTGCTCGAGCAAATCGATGATCAACGGGAGGGCCTTTACCTTTACCTTTTTTATGACGCAAATAGAAATGCTTTCTCTATACCAATACTTATTTGGTCTCGAGAGCCACCAAGCAACAACGTTCATTCCTCATTTTTCTCTTTTAAGATTATTTGGGCTCACTTTTGTTTTCATGATCAGTAATTCTTCAGAAAGTGAACAGTCAGCATCCAACTCCTCCTCAGATCGGCCTGTTTTCTCTGTGCTACCCTTTCTACATCCACTTAAGGTATGAGCTCACCAACAGCTTCTCACTCCTGTTGGTTTACTGGTAAGCATCTGAGTTAAATATGGAACAACGGTAACTTACAATGTATATTTATATCTAATTTAATATTAAAAATAGAGTGGTGACCCCCCAAACCAAAAATGAGTAAAAATCTTAAAATAATGCCAAAATTGAAAAAATAACTTCAGAAAATGTTGGGCAGGGAGTGATAGTACGGGAGGTAGGGTGTTTACCTGGCATGTGGCCATTTGATTTCGCACCTCACATGGTCCCCCAAGCCTGCCAGGATTGATCCCTGAGCACACAGAGAGGAGTAAGCTCTGAATACAGCCAGGTGTGAAAAAAAATTACTCTTCCAAGAAATATAATAACAATCAGATATTTTATTTGAATATACTATATTGCTTGTTATTTTAATTATATTTTCTGACTTGGTAATTTAACGTTGACTAAAAATATGTAGCCTTTTTCACCTCTGTCACTTATTAATTCTTGTTAAAATATATATATATGTATATATACACATACATACATACATACTGAGAATTTCTTTTAAATTTAACTCTGAATACATACAAGCATCCAGAAATGAAATATATATATATATAAATCAAGAGAAGTAGTCAACAAAAAATTGGCTTTCCCTTTATAAAATGACTATAATATGAATGCATATTCATTCAATTATCTTTGGAACCAAATGAATTCAAAAGGGTTTGGGGTAGTTCATCGCATTCCTTTACAACTTTCATTTGTTATAATCAAAAGTAAACTACGAGAGATCGGATTTTAGAATTTTATCATTTTCTACTTCTAATCCTTTTCATATCACTCTCCTGCAACTTGATATAGAGGAACAAGTGAGTGCTGATTGGAGAGTCAGAGCTGAGTTATAATGAAATGTGACTTGGTGATGAAGCAAAGCATTTTATTTTTTGACACCTATTTTCTTTATATAGTGTAGATATGGATCTAAGTCTTTCCCACATGATTTAAGATGAGACTGTCCCTGAGAAGTTAATGACAACAATTCCTGCCACACAGGAGACCTACGATATCTTTTCTCAGTCTACTACTTCATTCACTG